ACCTAGAATAGACCTTCCCCCCCCATTCTCTTAGACTCAATGCATACAGACACATGTACGCTCACACTCACATACATACACACACATCACACACACATACACATGTACACATGACCCTCCAAAAAATGAGGGAATGTAATTTTTTAGCATTGTGGACAACTCCCTCTCCAAAGATCCCTGTATTGAGTTTACCAAAGATTTTATATATATACACACATATAATATATACACAAATATATTTTTATACACATGTATATATGTATGCATATATATGTGTGTGTGTGTGTGTGTATGTGTGTGTATCACCAAACAGAGAAGACTGAGGAGTTGGAGTAACAGTACAGTACTGAATAAGAATGGATTGACCAGCAACTCAAAAAGGCCACTGTGATCCCGGATCACAAAGAACCAATCCATGGAACCTCAGAAGAACCTTCACCCTGTCAATCTTGCCCACCCCAGTGCTGCCCTGGAATTAAAAGAAGGAATCTCAGCTGCAGTGGTCTGGTTTCTACCTGTGGAATGCAAGTTGTCCACACACAGAACACCTGAGGAGGAGCTGCAGCCTCCTCTTCATAGACTAGAATTCCAGGAAGACCCAGACTGGTCCAGGGAGGCTTTCAAAGGTCTCTCAGAAACTCCCTCTACACCAGAAGAACTCCAGGGCCAAGCAGCAGGATTCCAGCTGAGATGAACACATGAAGGGTGAGCCAGCGCTGGGTCGCGCTGTGGGTGCTCTGGTCAACATCAATCAGTGTCTCATTTTGGCCTCACAGCCTCCTTAGAATGGCACTCAGGCTTATCAAAAGTACCAAGGAGAGGACTTTGTTGCTCTTACGGTTCCTGCCCATGAGCTGAACTGAGGTTACTTAGTTTAAAAAGGAAAATGGGGAGTGGGGTGGGGGGGAAAGAGAAGTCCCTTTTATACTACTGCTGGCGGCCTAGGTATTACAGGCTCTTGGGATCTGAGAGAGGGCTGTGTGGAAGGTGATATTCTAGCTAACCTTTCAGGACACTCCATTTACTTAAAGCAAATAGTCTTCCTGATTAGTTAGGCCAAAGTGACCAAAATAGTACCCCATCAGCTGCCTATCTAGCTATATCTGCCTTGCATGCTCCAAAGGGCTTCTGTTCGTGGAGCCAGCATCTTGGGGCATCCTAGTCATTTCCAAGCCCTATTCTACCCATTCTCAATTCACTGACTTTGCAACTATTTTGGCCTGTAGTTTATTTCAAAATGGTGGACACCTTCCTTTTTTCTTTACTGGGATGTGGGGTGTGGGTGAGGGGAGGAGGAAAAGAGTATCTAAAACCAGCCAACAGTACACCCATTTGGGGCCTTAAGCCTGGTCCTTTTCAGCTCTGTCTGCTCTCAAATGGCAGCAAGACTACCCCAAGATCCTAGACAAGGCCTGGTGTTTCCCACCTCAATATTGCACTTACCCTCTCTCTCCTCAGATTATTTTTTCTTTTCAATTGAGAATGCAAAGTATGGGGGAAAAGGGAAAGGGGGTAGGAAGAGTAACCTAAGAGGAATAAAATATTAGTAAAATATAAACACAGGAAAGTAAGAATAATTTTATCTTTTCTTAAAAAAAAGCTACCAACCAAAATCTAAATTTAAATAGCACTATGTCTACTTTGCAAATACTAGTAATATGAAAATAATGAAGGCTTTACCCAAATTCCCTTGTGTTTCTCCTTAGGTGATATAAGCAGTAACATGTTTTGCAGAGGAAAGCAAATGGATATAGATTACAGTAAAATACACAGCACAGAAGTCTGAAAGTGATTAAACAATTATATAATGCCTTCGTCAGGACTGAAAGTTAGGACAGGAGGAAATTCTTTGGAGCCAGATTTGGGCTATCACCCTTTTGCCCTAGGGCTGTCTGAAACTAAGAAGCCTGAACATGGAAGGGCCTTGGGTGAAAATATTCCCTAAAGTCACTCCCCAGGAGGAATGGCATTCCCTGCTAGGGGTGCTTGGGGGTGTGAGGGTGTGTCCATTTTAAAATTCAAAGGGCCAGTTCATAAGAACAAGCCTTCACTAGATCAGAGCAGAGGATCCCAGAGACCTGGAGAACCTTTCCCCTGAAGCTGGACATCGTATGAGAATCAGAGAAGAAGTTATTTTTGTTTCTTCTCTTAAAGAAAAAAAAAAGAAAATAACTTTAAAATGAAAGAAAAACAAACGGTCAAGTGAAGCTTTTCAGGCATTATATAGATGTCAATAACGACCTCAGAAGTGCTCATCATTATTAAAGTTGCAGTATACAGCAATACAACAGCCTTTCACATTTTCAATTGATCGAATGGAAAACTAGGGTTGGATTACGATATGATTAAAATTTTTTTTTTTTAGTTGGGGGAAGGGAGGTGGGAGAATTTGACAGTGAGGGGCTATCACTTTCTTCTGCCACCAGAGGGTGCCCTCTGCTCTCGCAGAACAGGTTGCTTAGTAATTGCCCTGGGTCCTGGGAGTGAAAGGACTTGGGCTGAGTCTGGCTGACCTGGCAGAGCTGGTATGGGCATGCCCAAGGAGGACTGGGATCCTCATACCTACCTGTCTTCAATTTCAAGTAATGAAACCTCCAGCTCCTTCCTTCATCTTAGCTCCTCTCTAGGGACTAGGCGGTATCTTGGTTGGTCCTTACGGACAAGGGAAATGAGGGCAGTGGTAGAAAGGGGGAACAAGGAGGACATGGCAATTTCTGTTCACTCTCTAGACTGGTAGGTTGTCATCCAATGGTGGCATTTGCCTACTTTTTTTTTAAGCTATCATGGCTTACCACCAATGATCAACTTCCAACCTGCCCTGGTGTGTTCAAGTTGAAGGGGGTAAAGATGTCACAATATAAGCAAGGTGGGACCCTGGCAAACTATCACTTATGGTCAAGTAGAAAGAGTATTGGATTGGGAGTCATCAGCCCTGGGCGTCAGTCCTAGCTCCTCATATGACCCTGGGCAAGTCACATCCCTTCTTTGGGATTCAGTTTCCACATGTATAAAAAGAGGGAGTTGACCCTGATCATTGCTAAGTCCTTTCCAGCTCTGGGATTCATGACTTAAGAGTGTCAGGACTGGGAAGGGTTGGGTAGAGGGTGACAGTCGAGGCACTCAGTAATTGTCAAGACAAGTGCCAGTGGAAAATAGAGACCAGAACAGAGACAGCTGAGGATGGTCCCAAAGCACGCAAGTGAGGGCAGGGAGGGCTTGGACTTCCTGGTAGAAATCCTAGTCCAGCCCATCTGAGATGCTTTCGTTTGGTCAGAGATATGCCATACTTTTCTGGAAAGGACCTGACCTGATTTAACGCCCTCAAGATTGTATTGGCTCAGTGCAGAAATGGGGGAAGTGGGGTATGCCCTGGCATTGAGGGGCAAGGGAGGGGCAGCTGTGTAGAAACTTCTTTAACCCAACGGTCATTATAATTTTAAAATTTTATTTTAAATAATCATAAATTACTTTTTTCTTTTAATAAATATGTGCTGTTTAAAAATGAGGAAAGCATATACTGCACCTTTAAGTAATGCACTCAGCTCTCTGCATGTTTCTTTCCTTTCCACTCTTAAAGTGCATTAATTAAAAAATAATGAACCACTTCTTCATCATTATTGTTCAAATAAATCATAACACGACCAGTAACTAACCCGCTACCATTAGTACTGCAATCTAGCAGATAACTCTATGTATTGCTCTATTTAACACTGTCCAGCAGAAGAATATAGCATTTCTAATTAAAAAAAAAAAACAAACCTCACAAAAACAAAGAAATCTCACAACGGCCCTTTGACGAAATTTGGGCAGATCTCAATAGCTGCCACACGTCAGTGTATGGAAGAGTAAGGGCCGCGCATGCGCAGCTCCCCAGGCAGTGCCGGAGGAGAGGGTGGGAAGAGGGCCCTTTGGTTTCCAGAAGCACAGAGATGACTGATGTGTTCTCATTTAGGCCCCTGGGACATAACATATTGTGTGTAAAAGTTATTTAGAGAGGAAGAGGATGTGGGTGAGGAGATAAGGTAGGCAATAGGGAAGTGGCAGGAGGGCCTTTCCTTCTTTGTGAAAAACACCAACTCTCCCCCAAGCTTCCCTAGGCAGCATAAAGTCTGAGCCACTGGAAGTCGAAGGCACATGTGGAAATCTGCAAAGGCCACTCCTCTTCACAGGGAGCCAGTTGTGGCTACTGGGCCCCTTTCCTCTGAACCATCCCATCGAATTTAAAATGTACCCCAAAGTCAACTCACGACCAACATGGACTTGGTTCTCGTGTTTCTCTCCCACTCTCTGCCTTTTACACATCCAACTGCAAGCTGTGTGGATAGAGAAGTTCAGCTCCCAAGAAGTTACTTCTCCAGCTTCTGAAAGCACCAACATCATCAAAGCCCTAGAGAGTGTTTGAGGCAACAGACACACCCTCCAGGGTGGGGTGGAAGGGCTGAAGGTCCAGTGCGCCAATTCTTCCCATCCATCCAGGAACACACACATAAACCACAGCCCTTAGTTTGTGAATGTGATTCAAATCGTTGACCCCTAATATTTAGCGACAGAGGGGAGGAATCATCGCCTTTGCTTTATACAGCTCAAAATGAAAGAGTTTTTTACAAAGCAGAAGTTGCTCCTGGCCCCATTTTGGACCCAAGAATCCATGGGGGTCTAGCTGAGGTGCAACCACCCCCTCTTGATTTCAGACTCTGGCTTCTTTAATCAGCTCCAATTCTCTCCTCCCTCTTGTGTGGCATTGGGAACAGAGGTGAAGAGATGGGCAACTTTCCTGGTTAGTGTCACTCCACAGCTGTGGGTTCTTTCAGTCCCAATATTCCCCAACAAAACCTGGGCTGTCTTGTTGTCCACACATTTCAGACTCAAGTGGAAACCAAAAGGGGAAATATTTTGGCTTATCAGGGGAGAAAAAAAGGACAAAACCCCCAACCCTATTCACCCCAATCCCTTTTTAGAAAAACAATGACCCTCCCCCCTTTCCTATCCTACCCCACCCCCCAAACAAATCCATCAAATATAATAAAAATCAAAGCCCTAAACACAGAGCAAAACAGTGACCAGAGATGTGCACATGAACACACACACACAGAGTACCCTGTACCACTACTAAAATACAAATGATGCTTATGCAGATTTCGAACTGATGGTTTAGCCTTTTCTTTCTTTGTAAACACTAATGCTGCAATGATATTGCCTTCATCAACAGAGAACCCACAGCCTGGTAGAATGAGGGACTGGTTCTCTTCTTGAGGGCTGGGGAGAAGAGGCAATGATTGTAAAAAGAGAGGGAGTAGCATCACTACGCAGGACTGAAGGGAACATTTTCCTTTAAACAGAATACACTGTAAACCTCTTCCTTGGGTTTGCCAAAGGAAGCAAGAAGTCTAGAAACCCCAACTCCAGAGTTGGCCAAGGACAACAGACAGATACTGGGGTTTCTGTCCTGTACTGGGCTTAGATGCAAAATTTCTCCAACCTCCAAAGCCTCTAGACTCTACCCTGCCCTATAATCTTTTTTTTTTCTTTCCCTTAAACAAAGCTGCCCGGAAGGTTAAATTCATCCTTGAAAGCTCTTTTGTGAGGGATGAAGAGATACAACCTATACCCCCAAAATAAAATCATCTTTTACCAGGGGTGCTTTTGGTGGTGAGATGCCAGTGGTGTTCCATAATCAGGTGGTAGCTATGGCCAGCGTATGAGGGAGGACTGGGTGTCATGCTGGGAGAGGCCGGCGTGGAGTTCCCCTCCACCCTATCCAAGTTATTGACCAAAGGCCAGTCATGTTTTCCTTCAAAGCCTTGCTTCCACTAAGGGGGCTCCAATCACACATAGCCCATCAGTGACATCATACAAGTACAAGTTCCCTTTTCTTTTCTTTTCTCCTTTCCCTACCCCAATCCAAATTGACCTTTGGATATCAATCACCTTTACCCCTACCCCTGATTCTCCCACTCTCTTCCTCACCTCTTTTCTAAGTATTATGAACCATTTACCCTCCATTTGGGTCCGCAAACACCCTTCCATTTAGCCATGGTGCACAAATTTGAAGAACAGCTTTCTGGTCACCCATCACTCTTGGTTTTGTTTCCCCATTTTAAAATTATTTCTTCCTTTTTTTTTTGCTTTTTTGTTTTTGTTTTTTGGTTTCATCTTGGTTCTCTTACCAGGAGACAGCTGAAGCAAGCAAAATTACAGCCCAGAGAAGTTCCCTGCACATGGCTAGTTCTTTTTTTCTAGATAGTTGGAAGGCACCCATCCCTTGAAGGGCTTCATGCTGTCTAGGATCTGACAGTACCACCACCCATTTGGATTCCTCTCCAGCACCTCCATGGACACCCCCTCCTGGAATCCTGCAGTCTCTTCATCCCCCTCATAGTCTGCAATGGAGACATATACATCTTTGAGGTTATTGTGTATGAACTGAGACTTCTCAATGGGTTTTGGCCGGACAGTGGACACAGGGATCCCATTTCGTTGGGTGGACAGCAGCGATGACTCAGAGCCCTCACTTCCTGCCCTCTCTACCAACCTGCCCTTGGCATCCCCAGCTGCTGTACGAGCAGTGCTGAAGGACGAATTCCGCCGGACAGAGCGGAGGCCATCTGTGGCGGTGAGGGACTCATTCCTCCGTAGGGCACAGGAGAGGTTGTTCTCCTTGGGGGGTGGGGACACAAACACTGATTGCGGTCTTACAGTTACCTGCCTCACACCGTTCCTCATCTTGACTGGTCCATTGCTTAGTCCGGAGGTCTTGGAGAAACCTCCAGGTGGCTTGGATGGGATGGGTGGTGTGACTCTCTTACTTTGGTTAACAGTGTTCAGCGCTTGAACCCTCTTCTCAATCTTTTCCAGGCTATCTGATTTACCTTCATTCCTCTTACTCTTGGTAGAAGTAAAATCCAAATCCTTTGTGGAAGATTCTAACTGTTCATTTTCTCCAAGGACTAGATAGTGGGAAGGGGCCCAGCCCTCTAGTTCTCCAAACCTTACATACCACCAGCCACTCTCCTGCTTTTCTAAGACTTCCACCTCCACACCAGCAGGGAAGCTGATCTCCGAGTCTTGGACCTTCTGGTAGGCATCGGAAGTTATATAGGAGGAGCCCTGAACCTCCTTTTCTTGATCTTTCTTGGTCCAGTTGTTGGGGGAAGGGTGAGCGTGGGTGGGAGGAGTGATGAAGTCAGCAGAACCTCTCCTAGACCCCTCTTCAGGTCCCTGGGATGCTGTCTGCGGAAGTGTTTCAGAGTCTTCACTCTTTGAACCCTTGAGACCACCTCGGAGCTGTCCTGTGGGCCTAAGTTGACGCCGGAGGCTGCTGATGTCCATTTTCTCTTGGCTCTGGGAGTCTCCTTTACTTAGGAAGGGTTTGGGTCGGACTGATGGCTTAGTTCTGGAGCACAAGGTCTGCCCGGCTTTCAGATCAGCAATCTCTTTCACACTACCCTTGGGAGGGCTCCGTAACCCAGCATCTGAGGCTGACCTGGGTTTCATGTCTCCATTCTTGGATAAGGAGGAGGAGGAAGAGGATGAAGAGGAGGAGCAGGTAGTATTGATGGTCACTGAAGAAGAGAAAGAGGCAGTGGAGTGGTTTTTCCCCAGCTCTGGCTGAACATTTTTTTCTGCCTTAAATTTTATGAAGGATGATTTGGGGGAATTGGATTTGGGTGAGCTTCTCCTGTTGAGCGAAAGCATGGAACCCCTAGGGGAGTCATTCTCACCACTAGATTCCTTGGCCTCCTCCACATAGGGTTGGAATCCCTCATTTTCATAGATGGTCTCCTCCTCCAGGGCCACATCCTCAGATGATTCTCCCACCTTAAACTTCGCCCTCTGCAGGGAAGATGCTGGAGAAGATCGCCGGGGCTGGTGGGAACGTTTCTCCCCAGAGCTGTCTTCTCCAGGAGCCTCTCCCAACTCTGGCTCAGAGTCAAAGCCAAAGGCGGGAATATCATACTCTGGCTCCTCGTATTTTGGCTTCAGTGGGGAGTCTTGACCTTCTATGCTACCGGATGATCCCTCCTCAGCCTCCTTGGGTTTGCTGGGAGGGGCAGGGGGAGGAACCTTGGGTCGGGTCAGAGTACTGGTACGCCGGTTGAGATTCGGCTTTTTTCTCTTGTCAATGTATGATGCAGGGGCCCAGCCTTCCTTCTCTCCAATCTGCACGTACCACCAACCACCTGAGTTTTTGTCAATGACCTAAGAGAACAGAGAAGGAGGAACAGGCTGGTGAGCTATGAGGATACTGGGGACAAGGAAAGATTATCTTGTATTTTCCTTTCATATCTGGATGTGGAATCTGTCCTAGTTGTGAAAGGTCTACTAAAGGGAAATTATTATATGCACAGATCAGCAAAATACAAGGGAATGAAGGATGGGGACAAAGGAGAAATCATAGGACCAAAGTGCTTCAAGGAAAGAGAGAAGACTTTTAGCTGAAAGGAAGGGGAGATATTGGGGAAGGCTTCCTAGAAGAGTCAGCCAGTCAGTCAACAAGCATTTATTATGAAAGGCAAAAGCAGTCCCTACCCTCAAAGAGTTTGAATTCTAATGAGAGAGCTAAAATGTACATAAGTAGGTACATATAAGATATACACAGAATGGATGGAAGGTCATTTCAGAGGTAGAAAACACTAGCAGCTGGAGGAGGGTAGGAAAGCCTGTCTGCCGGGAAGTAAAAGGATTTTGACAGTTGGCGATGAGGAGAGAGTACATTTCAAGCATGTGGGAGAGCTTGCATGAATGCAGGAGAGAGATAGCATGCCAAACATAGGGAACTTCATCTTAAACGATTATTTTCACAGCAGTGTGAAGGATGGATTGGAGACCAGAATCAAGGAAGCTAGTTAGAAGGCTATTAAAATTTTACAGGCAAAATGTGATAAGGGTCTGAACTAGGGCAGTAGTGAGGTAAGTGGGGAAGAGGTAGATCTGAGAGATGTAATAATGGTACAATCAAGGGGGCTTGGCAAGTGAGTGCATGTGGGAGGTGAGGGGGAGGAAAAGGTCAAAGAGGACTTTGTAGTTTCTAACCTGGGTCACTGAGAAGATGGGATTCATCCTCAAAAGAAATAGAGAAGTTGAGAGGAGGAGGAAATGTAGGGGAGAAAATGATGACCTTTGTCTCAGAGATGTTGAGTTAGAGGCGCTAGCATCCCTCCTAGATGGAGATATTTAACAGGCAGCTGGAGCTATGGGACAGTGTCATGGGATACCCACACTTTTGGGGGCTAAAGGTTAAAGAATCAGAAAAGGAGATGGGAAGGAGAAGTCAGCTAGGAGGAGAATCAGAAGAGTAGTGTTACAGAAGCTAAGGAAGAAGAGAGTACTTAGGAAGAGGGTTGGTCAACTGTGTCCAATACTAAAGAAAGGTCAAGGAGGATCAGGACAGAGAAAAATTTGCTGGATTCTAGGAAGCCTTCCCTGACTGCTCCAACCCCTAGAAATTCCTTCTACTTCAGCGTTAAGTCCTTACCATGGGCCAGGCAAGATGTTAAGCATTGGAGAGACAAATCAAAAACAAAACAAAACAGAACAACAACAACAAAAAACCCAGATCTTTTTTTCATGGAGTTTACATTCTAATAGAAGAGACAACATGAAAATAAATAAGTTCATACTAAATACACACATACGGCATAGATGAAAGGCTACCATAAAGAAGAAGGCTCTAGTAGCTAAGAGGACCCAGAAAGGGAAGCCAGCTGAGAGGTGGTGCTAAGGAGGGAGAGCATCCCAGGCAGGGGTAGGCGGGACACCCAATACAAAGCACAGCATTGGGCCATGGGAATGCTGTATTCAGGAAGAAGCAAGTAGCTAGCATATGGCACCATGGTAGAGTTCATGGATGAGAGTCAAATGCAAACACCACTAGGAATGCAGGAAGAGGCCAGGTTATGAAGAGCTTTAAATGCCAGAGGGCTTTTTATTTGATTCTGGAAATAGCTGGGAGCGTCTGGAGCTCACTGAGCCAGAGAAATGACGCTGCCACTTAAGATTTAGAAAAATCATCTTAGCAGCTTCTTGGAGAATGGACTGGAGTGTGAATAGATTTGAGGCAGGGGAGACCAGTTAGGAGGTGATTGATATAGTCCAGGTAAGAGGTGCTGAGGTCCCGAACTAAGGTTGTGGCTGTGTATGTAGAGAGAAAGGGACATATATAAAAGATGATGTGAAGGTAGAAATGGCAAGACTTTGGACAGATGGGATATGTGAAGTGAGTGCGAGAGAGGAATTAAGAATGCCACCAAGGATGTGAGCCTGAGTGAATAGGAAGGTGGCGGTGCTCTGGATAGTCATGTGGAAGTTTGCAAGAGGGGAGGGCTTGGGAAGGAAGGATAATGATTTCTGTTTTGGACATGCTGAGTATGAGATGCTTAAGGGACCTCCAATTTAAGATGTCCAGAAGGAAGTTTAGTCTCAGAAAGAAGTTGAAGTTAGACATGTAATCTGGGAATTATCTGCACGTAGATGATAATTGAACCCATGGGAGCTGATGAGATCACCAAGTGAGATAATACAAAGGGGAAGACAAGAGAGCCTAAGACAGAGCCAGGGCAACACCCACGGTTTCTGGGTATGATAAAGTACTTCACAAGGCTTTCCAATAGCCCTACAAATGCCGGCTGTTACTGGTCATTCATTCATTCAATAAGTACTTAGAATGTGCCTACTCTGTGCCAGGTACTGTGGTAGGTGCTGGGGGATGCTAACAGACCCAAATTGAATAATCCTTGCCTCCAAGGAGTTTATATTCTATTAGAGGAAAAGAGCATGCACATGGATAATGAAGTACAAAATATTATGCAAAGTAATTTCAGAGGGAGGGTGTCACTGACTACTGTTAGTATTATAGTAGGTGCTAAGAAACTAATTTATTGTGAGGAAAGTAAGGCAAAAATTTTACCCTTGTCTTATTTCACGAATAGGGAAAAATCCAGGTCTAGGAAGAGAAAGTTACTTGAAATCACACACCAAGTCTGTATATAATAGAGTTAGGATTAGAACCCAGGGTTCATAATTCCCAATTCAATGTCCTTTCTATTATTCCATAAGGTAACTGGTACAGAGGAAAGGACACTGGACTGGGAATTAGGAAACATCTAGTCTAGGCTCAGTTTTGCTACCCTTTTGCTGTGTGACTTTGACTAAGTCATTTCCCCTCCCTGGGTCTAGTTGTCTGAAGAGGAGTTCCCTAAGGTCCTAAAATGGGAATAACAATACCAGACCCCATAAGCCTGTTGCTAGGAACAAAGTGACTTTATCTTTCTGGGTCTCAGTTTGCTCCTCTATAAAATGAGAGCAAAAGCTAAGAATGTTTTTTGTTTTTATACTTTTAAATACAATAAAACTTGATTCAAAAATATGGGGGGAAAACATTCTTAGCTCACAGACTATACAGAAACAGGCAGTGGGCTGGATCTGGCCCATTTGGGATAACAAAGGTCCTATCTAGTTCTGAAAACCTATCTATGTGAGATCAAAATAAGGGATGTCAGAACACTTTGAAAACCAGTATCTTAAGATGGAATCTTAAGATTGCTCCCAGAAGAAAAACAGATTAGGGAACCCAGGTTTGCTGTGGGCCAAAGCCACACTGATGACAATTACCTCTGCCTTCTGTCCACCCCGGAAACTGATGCCATCTGAAATGCAAGACTGGAACTCGGCGATGGTGTAGTACTCAACCTCTACAGAAGGGGGCTCTGGTGGCTTTGGCAGCTGGAAGCCCTGCAATCCGCAGAAAAAAGCTCAGTTACTTATCTACCTACTTCCCAGGACTGGCATGGGGAAAGTACCTTGTCAACCACAGAGGGCTAAGGATGAACCACAAGTTACCTCTTCTACTACTAGCAGAGCTATAATATAATTAGTATGGGGCAAACTGGACCTTTAGCCTCAGTGTGCCTGATTTAGAGGGTGCTGATAGTAGCAGTCCTCTGGCAGCAGAGAAATAATTGAAAGGAGCAAGTAGTTAGCAAAACTAATCAAATTATGGAAGCTACCAGATGGTAGGCTGCTCCTCCTCCGTCCTCCACCGAGAGTTGGTTTGGGGACACCTTTCTCAGATGCAGTGGATGATCCTCTTCCTAGAAGCACAGATTCCTAGTGACAGCTCTCCTTACAACTATGATTCTCTACTGAGCTCTGACAGTAATAAGGAAGATGTACACTATCAAAGTCCACTCAACCTGGAAGGGCCAGGGGACAGCACAGGTGAAACAACTGACACTGTGCCAGAAAGGTGATCTAGCATAGAAGAAAGAACATAGGACCTAGAATGGAAAGACGTAGGCTCAAGTCCCTATCCTAACCTTGGCAAGTCATTTGATCCATGAGTCTTCATTTTCTAGTGTGTTTAAAAGCTTAAAATTGCACTGAGATTTTTGGGATACCTTGTGCACTATGTCATAAGACTATTAGGAGGGGGGAAACTGAAGCAGTGTAGGTAAAGTCTTTTGTAAAGGATTAAGTGACACATATTTCAGCTGCTGTTCTTATGCACACAACTGGATACAGGATGAGACGGATTGCATGTTATTTTGGCTTCAATTCAGATGGAAGGACTTCTAGACATGAGTCATATCACCTGGCAAAGGATTTTTAGAATTCAGACACACCTGGTATAATGTTGTGACTTGGTATCACAAAAAGGACGGGAGTAGAAACATCATGATTAGGGATAGTTTAATCAACAGAAAAAGACCTACACACAGTAAGGAAGGCACAAAGAGAGTGACCGGAGTGAATGGAGCTGAGCTGGGCAGAAGTGGCCATTAGACAATATAAGTCAGACCCAGCCTGGTGGGGAAACAAGCAACATTATGGAGGGAGGCTTATGCCAGGCATGTGCTTACAATATATTAATTTGATTGTAATATAGCACTGGTTAGGACAACATCACGTGAGATACACCTGTTTACTAGGTCAAGGAGACCCCCTCTGTTAAAATGAATTTATGCTCGACTTGTTTGGGCTCTAGAAATAATTATTTACAATACAGTAATGCCCCAAGCACCTGAAGGTCAGACTTCCAGCAGCCTGAATAACCTAGGACACAGTAGGGAATCCAGAAATAAAAAAACAGCCATCAGAAAGTTCATACACTTTGTTGCCTAAGACAGACTAGAAAGCGACCTTGGGCCCTGACTCAGATAACTGTGTAAAATACGGTAGCCAAAGTAGCAGTTGATGGCACAGGAGGGAGACAAAATTGATTCTGTTTCCCCATCTCTGAAATGAAGGTTTTGGCTTAGATGGGTTGTAAGGTTGCTTTTCACTGTAATTCTGGATGAATCATTGAATAGCTCTGGCCTTGAATCTTCTCACCTCGAAAATGGAATTTGGAATTAGATGATCTAAGTCAGTGGGGTCAAACTCAAATAAAAGTGGGGGCGGGAGGGCACTAATCCATACATAAGGATCCCTGTGGGCCACATACTAGCTTAGAAAATCACTTATTAACATTATCTTTGTCTTGTTGCATTTTTATTTATTTTATTAAAGATTTCCCGGTTCATTGTTAATCTGGTTTGGTTGTGCTGTGGGTGGCATTCACAGTGTATTTGACACTTCTGAGCTAAGGTACCCTCCAGATCCAATTGTGTAGAACATTTTATTTTTGTCATATCCCATCCCATGTTTTCAGCTCCACCATTTAAACAGGGGCAAATAGCTCAGCTGAGCACAAGAGCTACTCAGAAGCATCACTGTGTAACCCAGTACGATCATTTATGTTCATGATGATAACCTTGAGTCGATCACCTTTATAAAAAACAAAAACAAAAACAGAACTTGTTTGCAGTTTAAATGTGCGTAATTTACCTGAGAAAGGTATCTGTGAAAAATGGTTTTATTTTGAAAGAGCTTCGGTTCTTAAAGAGGGGAGCTCTAGTTACAAAGCAAATTTCTTTATATGGATAGCTCTTTGCCCAAAGACTGATGAATAAGATGTCACTGGTCCTACCCACACAAGGCGTGTATGACATCAATGGCCCTGGTGCCTAACACTCCCTTGAGAGAGGTGAAAGCCATTCATTCTCCAGGTAGAGATAAGGCTGACAATGCACAGCCCCAGGAGAGGAAAGATTCTCTTGGTGACTGACAGCCTCACTCAAGTGTTGGTGACTGAAAGCAGAGAATAGGGTTAAGAAATGGAAGGGGAAAGGCAGGGAGGGGATTGGTCACTAATGAGGGAAGGAGGAGAAAGCCCATATTTTTGAGGAGACTGGTTTGGTCAGGGCAATGCTCACTACAGATTGGATCCTGCCATAGCAATGGAGTAATGTGTGTGTGCACACGTGCATGTGACTGGTGGGGACATGTCTCATAGGATGAGAGTGAAAGAACCAGGTGTACTGGAAAGAGCACTCTATTTGGAGTCAAGAAGGTTTTGAATCACAGCTCTGTGATTTACTGGCAGGGGGATCAGGTAAGAAATTCATTTTTCTTGGCCTCGATTTTCTCATTTGTAAAATTGGAGGGGGTTGAACTAGATGGATCTCAAAGGTCTCTCCCAGCTCTAAATCTGTGATCCTAAGTCTCTCGATTCTCAGCCAGGACTCCCTTCTCCACCCCATCCTTCCTCTGCAACACTGATAGGTGGAAGTGAGAAGATATGCCCACGAGGGGGCAAGCTATGTCTATGGGGAAAGTGGCAACAACAGAAGAAGGAGATCGAGCACAGACCCTCCAAAGCGGCACAATGGTGCTCCATGCATGCACGTGCTTTGTGGACAGAGTAGCCTAGCCCGCTCTGACCCTTGGATGGGAGGGATTCCTCAGGGTTTAATTGGAACCAGCAAGCCTGCTGCCCCAGCATTCCATGTGTGCTTGGTGAGTATGGAATTAATTGCAATATTGCTGCCAAAATAAAGTCTAATCGAAAATAATTAGTCAGGACTAAACGATTCAGGAGGAAAAGTCAACATTCAGCAGTACACCTCTCAGTGGGAACAGAAAGAAGCAAAGTCCATGCAGCTGAGAGTGCAAGCCAGATGGGGATGGGGAAAGGTACACTGAATCCCATCTTTGCCCAAGACCATCTGTGTGTGATTCTAGGTCAGTCATTTCACCACTGTGGGCCTCAGTTTCCTCCTTTATAAATTAAATGGGCGATTAGACTGGACGGGCACCAAAGTTCCTTTTTCCAGCTCTAAATCTGGGGTCCTATGGTTTTACCCAATGGGACATATCAATTGAAATCACATTTCTAAAGTGCTTAGCACAGTGCTTGGCACACAGTGGGTGCTTAATAAATGCTTACTCCATTTCACTACAATGGCTAGTCGCTTGTTTGAGCTGAACACCACCTTTCCCACAAGCCCAGCAGAGTAAGAGAAACCTTCCTAGATTCCTTGAGTCACATCTACATACATACTTTGAATTTATCCTGCCTATACATTTTCCACCTGAGTCAATAAGAACTAGCTAATAATAATAATAGCTAACATTTATGAAGTGCTTTAAGTTTTACCAGTTTTACAGATGAGGAAACAGAAGCTGAGGAAGGTTAAATAACTTGCCCAGGGTCACACAACTGGTAAGTAGCTGAGGCTAGATTTGAACTCAGGTCTTCTTGACTCCAAGTCCAGCATTCTATTCACTACTACACCTATCTGCCTCCTTAGTGCTCCTACTGCCTCTTCCTATAGTCATGGCTTGGGCTGGTCACTTTAGAATGGGATAAAGGCTGGACTGACCACAAAAATGCTATAAGAGGCAGCTAGGTGATGCAGTGGATAGAGTACTGGACTTGGAATCAGGAAGACCCAAGTTCAAATTCAGCTTCAGATACTAGCTGTGTGACCCTGAGCAAGTCATTGAACCCATTGTCTGCCTCAGTTTCCTCATCTGTAAAGTGGGGATAATAATAGTATCTACCTTCCGGATTGTTGTGAGAATAAAATGAGATGTATGAGGCACTTTGCAAACCTTAAAGTGCTATATAAATGCTAATTATTATTGTTGTTATTATTAATGGGATCCTGCACAGGTTAGATTAGGTACCCACTGAGTTCCCTTCCAACTCTCAGGTTCTGTGAATTGGCTCTTTTCCTCAACAAGACTCTTTAAAGAGGAATGAGATTGAGGAGCTCCAGGTAGTGAGGTCCTTCTTGGTGTCTCGTATCCGTGTTCCCTCCCTCTTAGCTTCTGCAGAGCTGCTCATTCCTAATGGCTGTCTTGCTTTCTCTGTTTTCCTGACCTCCAACCTACTGCTGTGTTTTGGCTTGGCCCTGTCCCTTGTTCTTGGTGGTGCCCTGAGGCTAACTTGTCTTCTTGGTCCTGAACTTGCATCTCTCTTTCTGAGATGAGCAGTAACTGCCCAGACTTGTGCATGCGGTTTCCCTGCTCCCATCACCATCCATCAAGGAGTTAGGGATCTCTAAGCAAATGCTTCCGTGAACCTGATGAGTTTCCTATTTAGTGTTAAGTGGTGAATCTTTCTCTAATATCACCCCCTAATTTTTCTGCTTTGTGAGCATAACCATTACAAGTTGTGTTTCCTGAAGGGGGCTTACCTATACATTCACCATGGATAAATATGTTAGGTCCTTTGAAATGTGCTGCCCTCAGTAAGGGACTTTGGTATTTGAATACATTTCAACTCCGAATAGCCTACCTGGGTATGAGAGTTATGCCTAGATGCGGTTTCAGGTTCCTTTTTTAATTCTCATTTTTCTTCTATTCCCACAGCTTCCTCCCCGAAGGAAAAGGCCCAGGGATAGTGGCCCCCTGGGTTCTTTATCCCAGAGTACTGCCCTAGAGAGGGGAAACTTTTAGTTTGCTCCTCTGAACTCTACTCAGTCAAGATTAAAATTCCACCTCTGATGTTGTGTCACTTGTGTGACCTTGGTTAAGTCACTTAACCTCCTTGGGCCTCAGTTTCCCCATCTGTAAAATAGCAAGTTAGTCTAGATTGGCCTCTGAGGTTCCTTAAGATTCTTGATTTAGGATCCGAATATCTTGCCCACTCCCCTGGGGCTGTCCCTGGAATTCATGGTCTGGCTCAGCAGGGAGAAAGTCCATCTGAGGAAGCGTGTGTGTGTGTGTGTGTGTGTGTGTGTGTGTGTGTGTGTGTGTGTGTGTTGATATAGCAGTTCATACTTTTCTGGGGGCAGAGTCAAACACTTACTTCTTGCTCCATATCACTTTCTGTATCCTAAGAGTCAGGCAGCCAGATGAGGAAGGTGATTACCCATAAATGTGGGTCCCTAATCATTTCCTCTGCCTCTGAGGAATCCCGGCCACCAGGGCCTTTTCCTACAGTTCACTCTTGACAGTTAACTTTATTACTGGTATACATTCTTCTGGGTGAAATACAAAGGCCTTTGAACTAAGCCCATGTATGCACCATCCACATTTCTAGAGCCTAGTAAATACTCCGGCGGGACACTTGAGATGTCCAGTCTAAATGTTTATGTCTGCCAGGCTTGGTGGCTACAGATGTCTTTATTTAGCTTGAGAATATAGTGGGCTTCTGAGTGATAAATCCTCCAGCCAGGCCCCCAGAGTTTCAGTGTTGGAGTCCTCTCTCCATGACCTAGCCTCTTAGGAATATGGTATATTAACTACTACATCCAACACCATCGGCAATGCTTCCAGGAACATGGAGACCTTGACTTTGAGAGTTCTGAACCAACAGAACCAAAATCCATTCACCACAAACAGTCCAGCTCCCAGCCTAGTTCTGTGAGTGGCAGACATACAGAAATTCTACCCCATGTGAAGGAGAACAAAGAACCAGCAAACATTCTAGTCCTGACCCTATCACAGACGAGTCACGGGACTCTGGACAGTGGTAGATAAAGTAAGGGAGTTAAAGTCAGACATATTTTTGTAGTTTTTTGATCATTTTTCAGTCATGTCCAACCCTCTGTGACCCCATTTGGGGTTTTCTCGGCAAAGGTACTGGAGTGGTTTGCCATTTCCTTCTCCAGCTGATTTTACAGAGGAGGAAACTGAGGCAAACAGGGTGAAGTGACTTGCCCAGTTAGTGTCTGAGGTCAGATTTGAACTCAGGAAGATGAGTCTTCAATCAGAAAGTCAGAAATACCTGACTTTAAATCTTGCCTTTTATACTTACTAGATGTGTGATCCTGGGAAAGTCATTTAACTTCTCCATGCCTCAGTTTCCTCATTGGTAAAATGAGAAAGTTGGACTACATAGTCCCATCCAACTCAGATAGTCTATGATTCTGACTGGCCAACTCTTTGAAGTCAGAGGCCTAGACTTTAGATGTCTCTCTGCTACTTCACTACTAACTAATTTTGGGACCTTGGATAGTCAATTTACCTCTCTGAGCCCCAAGTTCCATCTTCAATAAAATGAAAGGTAAGGTCCAAATGATTTTTTTTGGGTGAGGCAATTGGGGTTAAGTGACTTGTCCAGGGTCACACAGCTAGTAAGTGTCAAGTGTCTGGTCTGAGACTAGATTCGAACTCAGGTCCTCCTAACTCCAGGGCCAGTGTGCTATCCACTTCACCGTCTAGCTGCCCCCCTCCCCCTCAAATGATTTCTAAGGTCCCTTCTGGATCTAACACTCTATGATTCTTAAGCAAGAATAGGAAAATAAAATTAAATACCAACCAGACTGGATTCTCTTCGTGGTGGGGGCCTTGTCCTTAGATTTGGAGAACCTGGAACAAGAAAGAAATCCTTAGAAATCTGAATAGGACAATGAACAGCTTCTGCACCTCAGCCCACCCTCTCCCCTTCCTCTCATCCTGAAACTGGGCAAGAAAGGAGGACACCGATAAGCCCCTAATCTGGGTTGGAGCTAAAGAAACTGACTTTTCTCCAATTTTCAAACACTTTAACTTGGGCTGGGAGTCAGAAGCAAATTAGCCTTTCCCTGGCCTCAGGTACAGATACAATCCCTCAACACAGAAACCCCGCTTGTTAAAGATCTAGAAGTAGCTGTGGGCAGCAAGAACCGAATGTTTGGATTCAGTCAAAGGGCCGCCCTTGAGGACCTACAGAGCCACATGTGCCCTCGAGGTCACAGGTTTCCTACCCCTGGTTTAGATTATTCCTTAGTTCTTACAAAGAACCACAACAATGGTAATGATGATAACAATAGCAATGCAGGTGTGTACAACACTTTATGCTTTATTATTTATATTTATTATTATTTATATTATCTCATTTGAGCCCAATAACCACAAGGATCATCATCTCCATTTCACAGATGAGAAAACCTGAGCCCCAGC